AGAGAGAGAGAGAGAGAGAGAGAAAGCGAGAAAGAGACAGACAGACAGACAGACAAAGAGACAGACAGAGACAGAGAGAGAAAGGGGAGCGAAGTGGGGATAGATGATAGACAGATAGATAGATAGATAGGTAGATAGATAGATAGATAGATAGATAGATAGATAGATAGATAGATAGATAGAGAGATAGATAGATAGATAGATAGATAGATAGATAAGTAGATACAGAAAAGCAGAAATAAAGAAATAGAGAACGAGAGCGAGAGCAAGTTCAAAAATGTGTTCTTGGTAAAAGTAACACGTCAGATCTATTCCCAATACGTTGAAGTAGCCAATCCGATATTAAGCCAAAAATCAATTATTTTTGCCAAACATCGTATTTTTTCCTCTGAATATTCCCCGTGGTGTACCTTAAGGCCAGCGCGGATTTCGGGGAATATTCAGGGAAAAAAATACACATTTTTGAAACACGCTGTCAATCATTTTAGTAGGTACCCCGTCTTTCAAATTACATGCAAATTTCAGAAGTAATGAAAACTTTTGCTTTGTTGATCCGTTGATTTTCTACCCTTACTACCAAAACAATCTAGATCTAGTAGATCTTCTGCTAACTAGTAATTCAGCTCGGAGGTCAAACTAAACTTTCGTCGAGTCAAGGACACACACTTCTGTTTATTTATAGCTCCAACGTTTTTCCCATTCGCACAGAAAGCTTTCAATTCCAGGATGCAACATCTGCGTGTTTTGTCACCCGCGGACAACACATCTCCGGGTTTTCGTGAGCGAATGTCACTTGAAAAAGAGGAAGAATAACTGAAATTCTTCTGCTTTGACAATGTTTCAACTGATATTCTGAGCAGGTAAGAGTATATTTCATTCACTGGTGTTTATTTTGAACTTGTATAGCCTAATACGATCGTAAGTCGTAATATCAGCTGCTTGCTGACCTCTAAGTTAGTGCAAGTCTAGTAATGGCCCACTAAAATTAGGATTAGGACACACTACTTGGTCTGGCTTGTTATACGAACAGCATTGGCAATATTCAGTAGATCTAGTTCAATTCATGAGCTGAATGTTGGAATTACTTTAGTTCAGGGAGAACTGATGAAGAGTAGGAGCAAGTTTTGAAAGGGAGCATGGTGTGTGCATTTTCGGAACAAGTAGCCTTGTCACAGTGCGAAAGCTGTGAGTTTGTGGACCACTCGCAAAGCCATAATATGCGCTTTGACCTGCTTTGACATTTTATCTATCGACTGACCAAAAAGAACAGACAAGGTCTTAACCACATAATGCCACATTCCCTCACTTTTACAGTCTACAGTGGTCGTGGATAATTCTCTTTTCTCTATGACTTGACTATGCTTAGTTTGGGGCTAGATCTATTAATAGATTCCGGCCAATTTCTATAGCCAGTTTGAAGTTTCCAGTTTTCCTTCAATTGTTTTCGTACCGGTATATTATAGATCTAGAATCTAGCTATCACTGGAGCTGGAAAAAATAAATTTAAAAATAAAAGCTGAAAATCTTCAGTTCCGGACTGTAGACACAAGTAGATAAGATTATGTCTCATAAACTTGTGTGCTCTGTTTTGAACGTATATCAAATTACAAGTGTGTTAAACTGCTGCTCATCGCAGGGTTAGATCATGAATATAGATTCTATAGGCCCTACAATCGCAATTTGTAATTGACCGTGCTATAATCTTACAGTAGTTCAATGGTAACATTCGGCATTTATTTGTAATGTGGTATTATATTGAACTATATTTTGGTATACTCCCTTACACCACAATTCATGGCGATCGCACCCAATTCCTTCTTATTCTTATTCTGTTTTGTGTTTTTTTCGGGGAGTTGGGGGGGGGGGGATTCAAATTAATAGCAAAACGATGTTCAAGAAATTTGTAGGTATACCGAATTAATATTTTGTAATGAGTTCTCTCAGTATTCTTTAGGTACTCCAACATTGGTGCCATTATGATACATTACGTAGTAGTGATTTGTTGCCAAATTCTTTTCTCTCTAACGGTTATTTTTGTTTTGTTTTACCAACAAATTGCTAACTCACTAATCAGCTTGTGTATTTTCCCAGCTTTGCTAATCTGTGAAGGCCCAGCTGACTACTGATAAGTTTGACTCATGACTGTAAATCCACAAGACTGAATGTCAGGAAAACTACAGTGGTCCGTTTAGGTAAAGAAA